ACATTGGGTGTGTCCTTAGGGCTGCTGGAGAGGTGGTTCTCCAGGACTCTCTTCCTCTTCCTTGGCTGGGTCTGGGTGCTAAAGGCAGGGAGTTCATTGGAAGAGCCCCTGGTGCCCTGGACAGCTATCCCCTGAAAGGGCTTTGCAGTAGGAGACGACATACCTTGAAAGACCCAGGTCCCCAACTCCTCTGGTCGGCTCATAAGTCATCCTGCAGTGAGAACAGTCAGATCCACTGTAGATACTCATGAAACACGTTTCTACAAAGGTTTCCATTTCTCCTATTCTTAGAACACGATGGTGTTGGAATTTTCTGTCTGGATAGAGAATTGAAACAAAAAAGAAGTGTTTGTTCTAAGGAGATGTGCAGTTCAGCCCCATGCGAGCTGCTGCTGGGCCTGTGTCTGGGGACTGGGAGGCAGCAGGGAGCAGTGGGGCTGTGGTGTGCGAGGCAGGGCCCGGCTGAGAGACACCTGCGGCTGAGCCCTATTCCAGTTTGTCAGAGCAGGCTGCACCCCTCGGTGCAAGATCTGAACTGGGGGAAAGCCAGAAACCTGGATTCTCTAATACATGGGTTCTTAACGGGGACAGGTCCTCAAGCCCCTGTGAAACATTTGGCAGATGAAAATGTCTGCAGATGTTTTTGGTTGTCGCACGTTGGGGTAAATGGTGTCACTTTGGCATTCACCTGGTGGGTGCCAGGGGTGCTGCTAAATCTCGTACAGTGCACTAGACAGCCGAGAACCACAGGAATTATCTGGTGCAAAATATCAGTAGTTCAAGGTTGAGAGCCCCTAATCTAGTTTTCTCAATTCGGAATAATGCTCTCTGCAGCCAAAGCAAGCACCTCTGAGGGCCCTCATTGCACCCGTGGGGTGGACAGTCCCTCATATACTAATGGGGGGAGGGACTACAGGGACAACAGAGCATACCCTTATCAAGCCTCACAGGTGCCCCTCAGCGCCTGTTCTATTAATGCTCTTTTTTTAATGTGTTTTCTCCAAAGTGTTAAGCTCTGGAATGTCCCACGTTAGTTTGATTTTCTTCTCTTTACCTCTTTTTTTTTTTAAATAAGAGATTTATTGAGATATAATTCACATACCACTAAGTTCGCTCTTGTAAAATGTCCAACTCAATATTTTAGTATATTCCCAAAGTGATGAAAGCATCACCACTATCTAATTCCAACCCCTTCTCGTCCCCCCCAAAAGAACCCCATGCCCATTAGCAGTCACTCCTCATTCCCTCCTTTCCCAGCCCCCGGAAGCTACTTTCTAATGGGACAGATACCTTATGGAGACACTATCTAAGTAGACGCATTTGCCTATTCTGGACATGTCAGTTGGATGTAGTCGTATAACATGTGGCCTTTTTGTCTGGCTTCTTTGACTTAGTTTGGTGTTTTCAAGGCTTGGTCACGTGGTATAACACCATGTATCGGGACTTGTTCCTTTTTGTGGCTTCATAATGTTCCACTGGGTGGATGGACCACATTCCATCCATCCTTTGGTGAGTGTTAGGGATTGTTCCCTCTTTGTGGCTCTTTTGGGTAATGTTTCTATAAACATCTGTGTGTGGCCGCATGTTATTATTTCCCTTGTGCATGTACCAAGGAGTGGAACTGGTGGGTCTTGAAGTAAGTCTGTGATTAACATTCTGAGGAGGCCCAGCGCAGTGGCTCACGCCTGTAATCCCAGCACTCTGGGAGGACAAGTCGGGAGGATCGCTCAAGGTCAGGAGTTTGAAACCGGCCTGAGCAAGAGTAAGACCCCATCTCTACAAAAAATAGAAAGAAAATTAATTGGCCAACTAAAAATATGTAGAAAAAATTAGCCGGGCATGGTGGCGCATGCCTGTAGTCCCAGCTACTCGGGAGGCTGAGGCAGGAGGATCGCTTGAGCCCAGGAGTTTGAGGTTGCTGTGAGCTAGGCTGACGCCACGGCACTCACTCTAGCCTGGGCAACAGAGTGAGACTCTGTTTCAAAAAAGAAAGAAAGAGGCCGGGCGCGGTGGCTCACGCCTGTAATCCTAGCTCTCTGGGAGGCCGAGGCGGGCGGATTGCTCGAGGTCAGGAGTTCAAAACCAGCCTGAGCAAGAGCGAGACCCCATCTCTACTATAAATAGAAAGAAACTAATTGGCCAACTAATATATATAGAAAAAATGAGCCGGGCATGGTGGCGCATGCCTGTAGTCCCAGCTACTTGGGAGGCTGAGACAGAAGGATCGCTTGAGCCCAGGAGTCTGAGGTTGCTGTGAGCTAGGCTGACGCCACGGCACTCACTCTAGCCTAGGCAACAAAGTGAGACTCTGTCTCAAAAAAAAAAAAAAAAAGAAAGAAAGAAAGAAAGAAAACATTCTGAGGAGCCACCAGTTTTCCAAAGTGGCTGTGCCATTTTCCACCCCCACCAGCAATGTGCAAGTCTGCCAGTTTCTCCACATCCTCGGCAACACCTGTTTTTGCTTTTCTTTCTCTTTTGTTAATGTGTTGTTGTTGTTGTTCTGATAGCCATCCTAGTGGATATGAAGGAGTATCCTCTCACTGTGCTGTTTGCATGTCCTTTTTTTTTTCTTTTTTAAGACAGAGTTTTGCGCTGTTGCCCCAGGTAGAGCGCAGTGGCATCATCACAGCTCACGGCAGCCTCAGACTCCTGGGCTCAGGCGATCCTGCTGCCTCAGCCTCCCGAGTAGCTGGGACTACAGGCCCGCGCCATGATGTCTGGCTAATTTTTTCTACTTTTATTAATAGTAGAGATGGGGGTCTCATGCTTGCTCAGGCTGGTCTTGAATGCATGAGCTCAAGCAGTCCTCCCACCTCGACCTCCCAGAGTGCTGGGATTACAGGTGAGCCACCACCCTCACCCTCTTTTCATCCTTGATGGGTACGATGTTAGTTGAGTGTTTCTTCTGGCACAGAGAGCTGCAGCCAGGCCTTGCAGGGTGCCAGCGCAGGCCGCCTTGCTCTGTGTCAGGGAGTTGCTGTTCACAGCCTCTCCGACCACAGAGACACCAGCTCAGCCTGGGCCAGCCTGCAGCTGCCTCCTGGGGCCCAACATGCTTTGCCCCTGCCTGGGAGCCCTGGGTGGGAGTTACTGGCCCAGGACCACTGGAAGCTCTGGGGGTGTCCCCATCTCCGATGAGGCTCTCTGCCTCCTGAGCCTCCCGGGGACTCTCCAGAAACAGCAGCCTGGGCACCGCGGCACAGCCACCCTGGGCTTGCAGGATCCCCCAGGACGCAACGAGGCTCATCGGCCCCTCCCTGAAATCTGCAGAGGTGTTATCCTTGCAGAGCTGAGAGCTGTTGTCCTTGGCCAAGGGGAGGCAAGGAGGCCACAGGAGAAGGAAGAACAACTTCTAATGGCCCTGGGGTTTAGTGGCCCCCCAGCCCCAGTTGGGGCCAGGGCTGCAGGTGTGTGCCCAGCTCCCAGGTGCCAGATCGAGGGTGAGCTCCCAGGTAAAAGCTGCTTTGCCGTCCACCCAAAGCACCCCACACGGGGCTGCTGTGTCACCAGCGCTTGGGCCACTGTTCCAGCCATGCGGCTGTGCTTTCTGCTCCCCACCCTCGTGGGGTCTCTCTCTGGGGTGACCTTCTGTGGGCCCACAGGCTGGCGGGGACCAGGGCCGAGCCCCCACTTTGACCGTCCTGGGGATGTGGTGGTCGGAGGCAGCTTCCCCATCTTTCACTTCCACAGTGTCACCCTGTTGGATTTCACTGCCCCGCCAGCCCCGCGGGCGTCTTCCAGGTGAGCGGCTGCTGGGGTTGGGGGCCCCAAAGGCCGAGGGCACTTCCAGAGCTCTCCTCTGAGGCCTCAGGCAGTGGCTGATTCTCAAGGTCATCCTTTCTGTCTGATTCCAGGTCAGTCCGTTCCCCAGGTCCCGCCTCTGCCCTTCTCTCCCCTTGCTTTCTTGTCGGTGTTCTGTCTGGAACGCGGTTTCCTCCTGTGTCTGCACCGCACGGACCCCGCAGGTCAGGCAGGGTTCTTGTCTCTCCTGTCCCCCGCCGGCCCTTGGCGCTTGGCGCCGCGCCAGGCGGCGGTGTGATGACAGCCAGGCCTCCTGGCGCTCGGCGGGCCGCCTGTGCCGCCTCCCGCTCTGCGCTCTGTCCCGCTGTACGGCCGCTGCCTGTCCCGCTCTGCGCTCTGTCCCGCTGTACGGCCGCTGCCTGTCCCGCTCTGCGCTCTGTCCCGCTGTACGGCCGCTGCCTGTCCCGCTCTGCGCTCTGTCCCGCTGTATGGCCACTGCCTGTCCCGCTGTACGGCCGCTGCCTGTCCCTCTGTATGGCCGCTGCCTGTCCCGCTCTGCGCTCTGTCCCGCTGTACGGCCGCTGCCTGTCCCGCTCTGCGCTCTGCTCCCAGCGCGCTTTTCTTGACATCGGGAGTTCCTGACAGTCCTTTTGGCTGTTCTTTCTTTTTTCTTTCTTTAATGCAATGAATATGTTTACCTTTATTAAAAAATTGCCGAAGTGTTTTTCAAAGCAACTGCACCGTGTTTCGTTCCCACCAGACAAGCACAAGACTTCCTATTGTCCCACATTCTTCCCATGCATTGATATTAGTCACATTATTCTTTCTAATCAATGAATAATAATTGTATGTGTTTTGAGGACACAATGTGATGTTCTGATATATGTATATAATGTGGAATAATCAAATCAAGTTAACCACATCCATCACCTTATATGCTTGTCATTTCTTTTGGTGATGCAAACATTTAAAATATATTCTCTTGAGATTTTGAAATAGACATTATTTTTAACTATGCTCACCATGCTGTGCAATAGATCTTGAAATGTATTCCTCCTGTCTTATGGAACCTTGGTGCCCTTGGGCCAGCACCTCCCCGCCCTCCCACCCTTTGCCCGTTCTGATTGATGCTGCACCTAGCACGTTGTGCACAGTGCTCGTGGGGCTGGACGTGGCCACCCCCTCAAGTGTGTGGGCTCCCCCTGGTCATGGCCACGTCTGCACCTCAGCGACAATCCACATGCTTCTCTCTCCCTCAGCGTCTCCATGTGGGGATTCCAGGTGGCCCAGGGCTTTGCCCTTGCCGTTGAGGAGATCAACAGAGACAGCCACCTGCTTCCGAACCTCACTCTGGGCTTCTCCATCCAGAACTCGGGGGACTCAGTGCACGAAGCCCTCCACAAGACCATGGGCTTTCTCTCAGGGTGCGAGGAGCCCATCCCCAACTACACGTGGGGGCCCAACCCTCCCCGGGCTGCCCTGGTGGGAGACATGCGCTCCATGGTGTCCATCCCCATTGCCAGGCTTCTGGGGCTCTACAAATTTCCCCAGGTGAGTCATCCACAGCCTTTTCCTGTCACAAAAAATGAGGACAGTAGTGATAGGTAATGTTTTTGTTTTGTTTTGTTTTGCTTTGTTTTGTTTTGTTTTGAGACAGAGTTTTGCTTTGTTGCCCGCTCAGAGCAACCTCAATCTCCTGGGCTCAAGTGATCCTCCTGCCTCAGCCTCCCGAGTAGCTAGGACTACAGGCATGCACCACCATGCCCGGCTAATATATATATATATATTGTATATATATATATATATATATATATATATTGTTGTTGGCCTATTAATTTCTATTTTTAGTAGAGATGGGGTCTCGCTCTTGCTCAGGCTGGTCTTGAACTCCTGAGCTCAAATGATCCACCCGCCTCGGCCTCTCAGAGTGCTAGGATTACAGGCGTGAGCCACTGCGCCCGGCAAATTTAAACACATTTAAAGGATTAAGAAACTCTACTTCTGGACCATAACTCAAGAAAAACTCTTGTTTTCCTATATGTGTAGGGTTACTAGGTAAAATACAAGACCCCCAGTTAAATTTGGATTTCAGATAAACAATGAATAATTTTTGTTCCAAATATTGCATGGGACATACTTATACCAAAATGTTATTTGTTGTTGATGCTAAATTCAAATTTAACTGAGGATCCTGTATTTTTATTTCTAAAATCTGGCAGCCTGATGAGATCCAGTCAGGCCAGAGGCGCACAAGCTGGGACAGTGTTGCCTGCAGGTGACTCGGGTCTTTACTGCCCTCTGGTGGGAGGAGCGTTTTCTGCACTCACACAAGGGGCACGAAAAACCTTGATCCACCACAGACACCTACAGACAGAGCCCAGGCCCGAAAGCAAACACACACACACACACACACACACACACACACACACACACACACACACGAAACCCTGCTGGCCCCAGCTTCACAGAATTCTTCTCTCTTCTGGGGCACGTGGAGTGGTCTCTCTACTGACAAAATCGACAAACAGGCCAACACTGACCGACCAGATTCCCTGTCACCTCTCAGGCCACAAAGGTGGTCACTAAATGGCCAGACCACAGGAGCAGGTTCCCGATCATTGCCAGCACCAGGGGAGAACACCGCTCAGCTCCGTGCAAGACAGAGCTAGACTCAGAACAGCGCCTGGGGAGACGGAGATGTGGGACATGCATGAGGTGGGCCAAGAGGAGGGACACGGAGAGGAATGAAGGTCAAGTTCAACTGTCCGTGGGCTGCATTGAAGGAGCCACAAAGGGTGTGTCTGGGCTTACCCAGGGGCTTACCCAGGGGCACAGGGGCATTGTTTCCAGAGACCCTCATGCAGACTCTGCCACAATGAGGCATGGACCCTCGGGGACACAGTCTGTCCAACTAGTAAATGAGGGAACAGGGGCGGAGGAAGCTCGTCCAATCATCTAAATTTTTGAAAATGTAACCTAGATGGTTCTACGGTGCACTAGGGCCTTTGCTACCCAAGAGCACTGACGCTAATCATCACCAGCTGGAAGGCTGTGAGGGGTGCAAGCCCTGGGGTCCCAGCCCGGCCTCCGAGCAGAGCCCCAGCCAGGCCCCACAACGGCAAGGCCCCCCAAACCAGCAAGGTCCCCCGCACCGGCTGGGCAATCCAACAGCCGCTAGCTTCTGACAGGCGGGCGCGCCCGGGCTCTGATCCCCCAGTGCCCGCTGGGGGTGTTCATGGGATGTGGGGCTTTCAGTAGCAAAGCTGGGAAGCCCTTCCAGGTCCCCTCGCCGTGTTCTCGCTCTGCCCACGTTGCCCCACTCCACCCCGACCGTCAGCCGTGCCCGAGTCCCCGGCGCTCGCCCTCTGCTACTGCCCCGGCCCCTTCCCTCGCAGGTCAGCCACTCGTCCACCCTGGCCAGCCTCAGCGACAAGACCCAGTTCCCGTCCTTCCTTCGGACCCCGGCCAGTGACCTCATGTCCTCGCGCACGCTGGCCCAGCTGGTGCTCCACTTCCGATGGTCCTGGGTGGGCGTGTTGGCACAGGACGATGACTTTGGGCAGCAGAGCAGCTCTCTGGTGACCCGGGAGCTGGGCCAGGCCGGAGTCTGCATCGAGTTCCGCCTCCACGTCCCCTCCCTACAGTCCCTGGAGAAGATCAGCGCCGTTGCCCACAGGATGGAGACCTGCACCGCCACCGTCGTTCTGGTCTTCTTGAGCAACTGGAATTTCCGGCTCATCTTGCAGCTGCTGGGCCGTGGCACCGCGGGCCGGGTCTGGGTGAGCCGAGAGACTCTGCACAGAGCGTCTGTCCTGACCGCGCCAGGCGCCCCCCACGCCCTGCAGGGCTCCTTCAGCCTCCGGCAGCACGCCAGCCTGGCCCCTGGGCTCCCTGAGTTCCTCTCTCACCCACACCCCACCAGGACCCCGGAAGACATGATCCTGAGGAGGTTCTGGGAGGTCACCTTCAGATGCACATGGCCCCGGGGGAGCCAGGGGCCAGCAGGGAACGGCTCGGTGCCGGTGGCAGGAGTCCGATTCTGCTCCGGGAATGAGAGTCTGCTGGGCCAGCAGCATCCTTTCCAGGAAGTGGCTGAATTCGACACCACATACTCGGCAGTTTACAGCATCGCCCACGCCCTGCAGGGTCTGGTGGCCTGTGAAAGCGAGGACGAGGTGTGTGCGGACGCTTGGCACTTCCAGCCATGGCAGGTGAGAAACGTGTGCAGCAGACAATTCGAGGAAGGTCCGAGGGCCAGGCATTTCTCGGCCTGAGCTATGGAGGTAGAACTGAGACAGTGCTCCTCAGGGAGGAGGCCTTATGCTCGTAGCCCTGAGCCCTCAGCGAGAGCACTGGACGCAGGGGCCGAAGTCCGCCCTCGCCGGCTGACTTCAGATGAGGCCCGTCCATGTGGTGTCGCTCCATTCACAAACACACGGTGCCTAGTTAAATTTGAATTTCAGATAAACAGCAAACAATTTTTCATATGAGTATATACCAAATACTATATGAGATATACTTGTACTAAAAGGAGTCGTCCTTTTACCTGAAAGTGAGATTCAACTGGGCCTCCTGTATTTGATCTGGCAACTCTACCTCTTGAATCTCAATGAGCTCATCTCAAAACAGGAGAAAGAAAAGTCCAGTCACAGGGTTGTTGGGAGCCTTAAGTCCAGTGATGGTGCAAAAGCCCTTTGCACACCAAAAATCCCTTGCAGATAGGAGGTAACCCACATAGACCCACTGGCATCCTGGGTGAGGCTAACCCATTCCTGCAGTTGCTGGTGACCAGCAAACAATCAAGGCAGAAATTGTCATGCCTGCATCTCTGGGGCCCAGTTACTGCATTTGCGAAACAGAGCATATGTTAGCTCTACCTCTTGGAAGGTTGTGAGCTAATATAGATAGAGCACCGAGAACAGCCTGGCGGGTGGTAAGCACTGAAATGTATTCTCGCACCGTGTTTCCCCGAAAATAAGCCAGGGTCTTATATTCATTTTTCCTCAAGAAGACACCCGAGGGCTTATTTTCAGGGGATGTGTTATTTTCTTTAAGTACAGTACAACAATCTACATTTATTCAAATATAGTTAAGTCATCTTCTTCTGGAACATTATCATAACTCTCCAAATCCCGAATTCCATCCTGAATTTCTTGCCACTCTATTTCCTTTAAAACCCTTGGCCCCCATCTCTCACGTGGAGCCACAGAGCTGTCACGGGGCGGATGAGAAGGGCTGCTCAGCGTCTTTCCCGCTCCGAGACGACACGCATGGGCTGTGCAGACGCACCGCGTGGCCACGCCCGTCACTAGGGCTTATTTTTGGGTTGGGGCTTCTATGGTGCAAATGCTTAGCAATCCTGCTAGGGCTTATTTTATGGGCAGGTCCTACTTTCAGGGAAACACGGTACGTCCCCAGAGCCAGGGCTGCACTGTTCCTTCCTCCATTGAAAAACATGAAAAATTCAACTTCCGCCTTGGTATAAACATGAATATAATCTGGGCTGGATTAATGACTGTATATTCATTATTACTTTATTATTTTCCTCTGATTTTACAAGAAGTTAAAATCAGAACATTTTTATGAGCCCCTGCAGATGTCATGGGCCCTGTTCCTCTTATGCCTAATGGCCTGAGGCATCTTGGCCAGACCCCAGAGACTGGCCCCTGCCAACCTATCATGTCACCTTTCTATCCCCAGCTTCTTCCACCCCTCAGGAAGGTGCATTTCAAGACCCCTGATGGGACAGAGATCGTTTTTGATGCCAACGGAGATTTAGTCACAGAATTTGATATTCTACGTGGGCAGAAGACTGCGGAGGGCGCTTTCCACCTCGTCCACATAGGCACGATCAACCCCAGAACCTCACTGGGAGACAGAATGACAATCCACTTGACCAAGGAGGAGCTCCAGGTGAGTTCCCTGGGTGCACGAATGACCCTAGTCCTAGTGTATTAGGGTCAGGGGGAAACACAGAGGCCAGTGGTCCCCGTCCTTATTGGATGTGTGGAGTGGATCTGGCTCCAGATGGAGCGAGTCAAAACTCAGATGCTGTTTAGCCATCATAGACCCTTCTCTGAGGGGAGAAAGCATTTACTCTCCACTAAAAATGAAAATATTAGGCCTGGTGCGGTGGCTCATGCATGTAATCCTAGCACTCTGGGAGGCGGAGGAGGGCAGATGGCTCAAGGTCAGGAGTTTGAAACCAGCCTGAGCAAGAGTAAGACCCCCATCTTTACTAAAAATAGAAAGAAATTAATTGGCCAACTAAAAATATATATAGAAAAAATTAGCCAGGCATGGTGGCGCATGCCTGTTGTCCCAGCTACTTGGGAGGCTGAGGCAGGAGGATCGCTTGAGCCCAGGAGTTTGAGGTTGGCTGACGACACGGCACTCTAGCCTGGGCAACAGAGTGAGAATCTACCTCAAAAAAATTTTTTTAAAAAAATGAAAATATTAGAGCTAAAGAAGTTAAATTAGAGTTTGCACCAGGAGCTTCTTGTATTTTTCATCATGTCTGTATTTAAGGATCTGCTGAGTAGAAAGGCAGATAGTTTACCTGGAAAGATGGCAATACTCTTCACCAAACATTCCCGTGGAGGTAGGCAGAATGAGTGTTCTCCTTTTATTTATTAACAAATGCAGTTGCTTTCTTGGGACAGGTGAGTCTAGGTGTCCACTCCAGCCTGTAGACACACCCGTCCCTCTGGCCACCATTAGTGGACCCGTGGCCACTTGCACTGCAACCTTGCCTGCCTTGTGCTTGGGCCGCCCGCAGTGTCTGCCTTCAGGTGTTCCAAGTGAGAATCAGGTTCCCGCTCTGCATCCTGCAAACCTAGGGGACACAGGCTAAATGTCCAGAGGATTCTCTTGAAGTCCCTTCCAATTGGCTTTAACTGGGAAGGGACTTCTCTTCCCTTCTGAGGGTGGGAGAAACCCAGCATTCCACACTTCCCTCCAAGCCCTTCTCACCCCTTCCTCCCTCTGACTCTTGCCTGGAGGTGGCAGGGAAGCTGAGGAAGGCAGAACCACCCTTGTCAGGTCCTTCTTACCGTGTTTCCCCGAAGATAAGCCAGGGTCTTATATTTATTTTTCCTCAAGAAGACACCCTAGGGCTTATTTTCAGGGGATGTGTTATTTTTTTTAAGTACGGTACAACAACCTACATTTATTCAAATATAAAGTCAAGTCATCTTCTTTTGGAACATCATCCTCACTCTCCAAACCCCGAATCCCATCCTGAATGTCTTGCGACTCTATTTCCTCTAGACCCACCGGCCCCGATCTCTCCCGTGGAGCCACAGAGCTGTCCCGGGGCGGATGAGAAGGGCTGCTCGTTGCCTTTCCTGCTCCGCGCCGGCACGCATGGGCTGTGCAGACGCGCCGCGTGGCCACGCCCGTCACTAGGGCTGATTTTCAGGGTGGGGCTTCTATTGCGCATGCTCAGACGTCCTGCTGGGGCTTATTTTATGGGTAGGTCTTATTTTCGGGGAAACACGGTAGATGGCAGGGCCACTGGTGGTACAATGCAAAGTTGTGTGTGTATGTGCTGGGGCGGTTAGCACCCGGAATTCTTTTCTCCTTTTTCTTGGAGACAGTCTCATTCTGTTGCCCAGGCTAGAATGCCATGGTGTCAGCCTAGCTCACAGCAACCTCAAACTCTTGGGCTCAAGCGATCCTTCTGCCTCAGCCTCCTGAGTAGCTGGGACTACAGGCATGTGCCACCATGCCTGGTAATTTTTTCTATATATTAATTGGCCAATTAATTTTCTTTCTATTCATAGTGGAAATGGGTCTCGCTCTTGCTCAGGCTGGTTTTGAACTCCTGACCTTGAGCGATCCTCCCGCCTCGGCCTCCCAGAGTGCTAGGGTTACAGGCGTGAGCCACCCTGCCTGGCCCACTTGCGATTCTTGATGCAGGTGTCTCAGAGAGACTGGAATGGTGCCATTTCACACTGAGCCTAAGTGTTCCCACGGTCAGCCAGGTGACCCAGGTGGAGCCGCTCCCAAGGATTTACTCATTTGCTACATTTACGGGAGCTTCTCCAGTCTGCCTGCTCTATGTAACTGCAATGATTTTTCCCCTGAAAGCAGCCTCATCCTTTGGGTGGGAAGGACACTGGATTGCTCCTCTGGGCTGGTGCAGGACAGGACATATGCCCTGTGCCCTGGGGCCAGTCACTGACCACACCCCTGCTCGTCTGTCCCCAGGTCCCCAGCTCTGTCTGCAGCAGGAGTTGTGCTCCAGGGTTCAGCCAGATCCCCCGACCGGGGTTCCCACATTGCTGTTTCGAGTGCAGCCGCTGCCCGGAGGGACAGTTTGCAGACCACATAGGTGAGGGCTTGTGGAGGCTGAATCCTGAGGGGCCATCAAAGCACTCACAGCCTCTCAAATTCCCAATCCAGTTGACTTGTGGCACAATCTCCAGCCTTCTGTGGACTTTGGACATGGGAATGCTAGCTAGGAAGCCACTGTTACAAGTGATTTTAGGTAAATGTTTTATTGAACTACACAGATAAATGCATGGGTCATAAGTGTGCAGCCTGATGAATCCTCCCCTAAAAAACTCAGTGGCCCTGGTCCCCTCATCGAGAAACAGAATGACCTGCCCCAGAAGGCCCTTGTGCCCCTCCTGGTCATTTCCCTGCCCTCGTAGGCACCATCCTGGCTTCTGTTGGCTTCAGTGAGTTTTGCTTGTTTTTTTTTATTTTTATGTTTTTGAGACAGAGTCTCGCTTTGTTGCCCAGGCTAGAGTGAGTGCCGTGGCGTCAGCCTAGCTCACAGCAACCTCAGACTCCTGGGCTCAAGCAATCCTCCCGCCTCAGCCTCCCAAGTAGCTGGGACTACAGGCATGCACCACCATGCAAGGCTAATTTTTTCTATATATATTAGTTGGCCAATTAATTTCTTTCTATGTTTATTAGAGACGGGGTCTTGCTCTTGCTCAGGCTGATTTTGAAGTCCTGACCTCGAGCAATCCGCCCACCTCAGCCTCCCAGAGTGCTAGGATTACAGGCGCGAGCCACCGCCCAACCGAGTTTTGCTTGTTTTTTAACCTCCTATAAGTGGAATCACATGGTGAGCATCCTTCTGTTTTTCACTTTTCCCTCCACATTATGTTTGTGGGATTTGCAGCAGTGGCTGTGCGTAACTGTGGCTTCTCTTGCTGTCCTCCTCGGCAAGATCCCATGTGTGCGCAGGCCATGGCTGCTTCATCCATTCCCACAGGGAGGGGGGTTTGAGACGTTTCCTGATCAGGGGTTGTCACGAGCAGAGCTGGTGTGTCTTTTGGGGACACATGGACACATTTCTGTTGGGTATGGCATTGGTGGGCCACAGGTAGGCGTACACGCAGCTTGAACAGATGCTGGTGGTTGCCCGGTTCACAGTCCCACTACAGGTGTGCACAAGGCCCAGCTGCCCCCTGTATTAGTTTCCTGTTGCTGCTGTAACAAATTACCACTGTTTATTGGCTTAAAACAACACACGTTTATTATCTCACAATCTCTACAGCTTAAAAGTGTGGGTGCAGCGTGCTTCAGTTGGGTGCACTGCTTGGGGCCCCCGAGGCTAAAGCTCAGATGCTGGAAAGACTGCGGCCCTTACCGGAGGCTCTGGGAAGAGTCTGCTTCCAAGCCACGCAGCTGGTGGCAGGATTCAGCTCCTGCGGTTGTAGGACTAAGGACCCCATTTCTACGAGGGCTGTCACCAGAGGTCATTCTCAGCTTCTAGAAGCCGCCCAAATTCCTTGCCTCATGGGCTCCCTCCATCCTCAAGCCCAGCAGCGGTGGGTCCCATCTCTCGTGCTTCATATTTCTCCTGCCTCTTTTTCTGCCACGTTTCTTTGCTTTCACCTTCTTCCTTCCTTCCTCCCTCCTTTTTTATTTTGAGACAGAGTCTCCCTCTGTTGCCCAGTCTAGAGTGCCGTGGCGTCAGCCTCGCTCACAGCAACCTCCAACTCCTGGGCTCAAGCGATCCTCCTGCCTCAGCCTCCCGAGTAGCTGGGACTACAGGCATGCGCCACCATGCCCGGCTAATTTTTTTTATATATTTTTAGTTGTCCAGATAATTTCTTTCTATTTTTAGTAGAGACGGGGTCTCACTCTTGCTCAGACTAGTTTCGAACTCCTGACCTTGAGGGACCCTCCCACATCGGCCTCCCAGAGTGCTAGGTTACAGGCGTGAGCCACCACGCCCGGCCCCTTTCCCACTTTTAAGGAGCTTTCTCACTGTGGCTCAGAGCAGTAATTTTAAACAATTCCCAAAGGATGGGTGGCAGAGTCGGTGAGACTTTCTGCATTGGTTTGTGTGGGCTGCCATCACAAAATACCACAGCCTGGGTGGCTTAAAGCACAGACGTTTATTTTCTCACAGTTCTGCAGACTGGAAGTCTAGGATCAAGGTATTGGCAGGGTTGGTTTCTTCAGAGCCTCTTTCCTTGGCTTGCAGCCGGCTGCCTGCTTGCTCTTTCTCCATGTCTTCCTTCTGTGTGTACCTGTGGCCTCACCTCCTCTTCTTATAAAGACACCAGTCATATTGAATTAGGGCCCACCCTAAACACCTCATTTAATCTTTCTTTTTTGAGACAGAGTCTCGCTTTGTTGCCCAGGCCAGAGTGAGTGCTGTGGCGTCAGCCTAGCTCACAGCAACCTCAAACTCCTAGGCTCAAAAGATCCTCCTGCCTCAGCCTCCTGAGTAGCTGGGACTACAGGCACGCACCACAATGCTTGGATAATTTTTTCTATATATATTAGTTGGCCAATTAATTTCTTTCTATTTTATAGTAGAGACGGGTCTCGCTCTTGCTCAGGCTGGTTTCAAACCCCTGACCTCGAGCAATCCGCCCGCTTCAGCCTCCCAGAGTGCTAGGATTACAGGCAAGGGCCACCGCACCTGGTCTCATTTAACCTTAATGCCCTCATATCCAATTTATCTATCTCCAAAGAAAGTCACATTGTGAGAGGTACTGGCGGTTAGGACATCAACACAACTCAGCCCATAACAATTGCTAGTAAGACTAGTTACTGCTACCATTTGGACAAAATTAACCATTAAAAGGCCCCAATACAAACATGCATATAGGGTGTGCATTTTACCTTGTGCCTCAGGCTCTAATGTGGCCCATTCTAGCACTAGCACTTCAGAATAACCCATCAACACATTAACAGATGTAGGCCGGGCGCGGTGGCTCACGCCTGTAATCCTAGCACTCTTGTGAAGTTCAAGGTCAGGAGTTCAAAACCAGCCTGAGCAAGAGCGAGACTCGTCTCTACTATAAATAGAAAGAAATTAATTGGCCAAAAAATATATAGAAAAATTAGCCGGGCATGGTGGTGCATGCCTGTAGTCCCAGCTACTCGGGAGGCTGAGGCAGGAGGATTGCTTGAGCCCAGGAGTCTGAGGTTGCTGTGAGCTAGGCTGACACCCCAGCACTCACTCCAGCCCGGGCAACAGAATGAGACTCTGTCTCAAAAAAAGAAAAAATCCACATTAACAGATGTGAAACACTCTGTTCGGTGCATGTGGAGCCTCCCTCTGCATGGCTGGTGTCATTACACAGCGGTGCAGACACGGGCTCTGTGTGTCTCCCACAGACACGAAGCAATGTCTCCTGTGCCCGGAGGAGCAGTACTCAAGCCACACCAGAGACCGCTGCCTGCCCAGGACAGAGAGCTTCCTGGCCTTTGACGAGCCCCTGGGCCTCACGCTGGCCTTGGCAGCACTCACGCTGGCTGGGCTGGTGCTGCTGGTCCTTGGGGTGTTTCTGAAGCACAGGGACACGCCTGTGATCAGGGCCAACAACAGAGCTCTCAGCTACATGCTCCTCACCTCCCTGGCCCTCTGTGCCCTCTCCGCCTTGCTCTACCTTGGCCGTCCCACCGCCGCCACTTGCCTCCTCCGCCGGATCACCTTTGCCATTGTGTTCACTGTGGCTGTCTCCTGCATCCTGGCCAAGACCCTCACTGTGGTCCTGGCCTTCAGGGTCACCAGGCCAGGGGACAGGATTCAGGTGTGCCTGCGACCTGGTGCCTCTACCTCGGTAGTCTTTGTTGCCTCCTTGGTGCAGGTTGTTCTCTGTGGGGTCTCGCTGGGCACCTCCCCATCATTTCCAGAAAGGGACACAGCCTCAGAGCCCAGCCACATTGTTATCCAGTGCCAGGAGAGCTCTGGCGTCGCTTTCTACTTCGTGCTGGGCTACCTGAGCCTCCTTGCCGCCGTCACCTTCTCTGTGGCCTTCCTGGCCAGGGGTCTGCCCGATGCCTTCAATGAGACTAAGTACTTTACCTTCAGCATGCTGTTTTTCTGCAGCGTCTGGACAACCTTCCTGTGTCTGTACTACAGTGTCCGGGGCAAGACCACTGTGGCTTTGGAGATCTTCTCTATCCTGGCCTCCACTGCAGGGCTGCTGGGTGGCATCTTTATGCCCAAGTGCTATATCATCCTGCTGAAGCCAGAGCGAAATGCCCCAGACTGGCTGAGGCGAGGACGCTGGGCTCAGCGGGAAGGACAGAGCAAGGAGCTCCAGAGCAGGCGTCTCCCCCAAGGCCTATCTGCACGAGCCAGTCCTCGCTGAGCAGCACTATCTATGATGGCCCAAAGTGAGAACAACCCAAATACCTGACAAGTGATAAATGGATGAACAAAATGTGGCATATGCACACAATGGAATGTTATTGGACACTATAAAGGAATGAAGTACTGACACATGGTACAACACGGATGAACCTTGGAAACATAATGTTGAGGGAAAGAAGCCAGGCACAAAAGACCAGATGCTGTAAGATTCCACTTACATGAAATATCCAGAATAGGCAAATCCACAGAGATATAACATATATTAGTAGTTGCCTAGGGCTGGGGAAGAGGGTGATTGTGGGTTGATGGGTAATGGCTTAGGGGGTTAGCACTTCTTTTGTGGATGATGAAGTTCTAAAATTAACTTTGGTGAGTGTTGCACAATTTTATGAATATACTAAAAACCTTTGAATTGTACAATTTAAATGGATGAATTGTATGGTATGTGACGATATCTCAAGTTGTTACTAAAAAAAGGATAATCAATGACAAAGTATGGACTTTTGTTATATCCTGATTTTTTTAAAGGATCAAACTGTTAAAAAAGAATTACAAATTGGAATACTGACTATTCAATGATATAAAGGAGGTAAACATTTTTATAGTTTTAATAATGGGATTATGGTTATGTGAGAAAACAGTCCTTATCTTTTGGAATTACATATAGTAGGTGAAATGGTATAGGGTCTGAGATTTGCTTTCAAATGATTCAAAATGGTGGAGAGGCTTCTGAGGATTGGCTATGGGTTGATCAGGGCTACATGATGGGGACATGGAGGCTCACTGTCCTCTGCTGTCTCCTCTTATGTTCAAAATTCTAATAGTTTTCTGGGCCAGACGCAGTGGCTCACGCCTGTAATCCTAGCACTCTGGGAGGCCGAGAGGCAAGCGGATTGCTCAAGGTCAGGAGTTCGAAACCAGCCTGAGCAAGAGCAAGACCCCATCTCTACTAAAAATAGAAAGAAATTTAATTGGCTAACTAAAATATATAGAAAAAATTAGCCAGGCATGGTAGTGCATGCCTGTAGTCTCAGCTACTCGGGAGGCTGAGGCAGGAGAATCACTTGAGCCCAGGAAATTGAGGTTGCTGTGAGCTAGGCTGATGACACAGCACTCACTCTAGCCTGGGCAACAGAGTGTGACTCTGTCTCAAAAAAAAAAAAAAAGTTTTCTGAAAAATTTCTTACAGGACCTCAAAGAAGACTTTAGAGAACGTGGATGGGTGGTAAGAAACAAGTACAGAAACACAGCAGGAGGAATAGGGAGTATACAGTCACGTAGGGTATGAAAAATATCTCACTTCAAGTACCACAGCACTCAGACTGAGAGCTCTGTAAGGTACTCTTGTGAGCCATCCAAGGCCAGAGATAACCAGGTCCGCATGTTTCTCTTTGCACAATGTCAAGCTTTTATTGATGCTGTTTCAATCATAAAAATCGAGAGCTAGGTACAGTTCCCAAGGAGGCAATTCTCCTTAGTACTGTCCATTCACTCAATAGTCAGAGCGAATGGCTCTGACTACAGAACACACAGGCACAAGCCACTTCACAAGTCAGTCAATATTGCAAACCATACATAATCATATTTAATCAATATATAAATGTTAATTAAAATTTCCACATCAAAATAAAATTTAACACCAAGAGAAAAAGAGGATGGGAAAGGGGGTTAACAAAGCAGTTCAAGGAAAGTGAGATGGACAAGAAAGTCCTGGACTGATTTGGCCAGTCATCAGCAGAGCAGTCTGTCTTGCAAGGAAGAGCTCTTAATTTGGCAGAGCCTTTGCTGGCACATGCCTAGTTGCTTACCAGAGTGAGGGCAGGACAGTTGCTATGGAAATGGCTGGCCAGAAAAGTCCTCTTTGTGTAGACCTTGAGTTGTCCAGTGGGGACTGTAAAGTGTTATGCCCTTATCTGATTGGGTATAGGCTTTAAACACCTCATCTCTGTTGGCATGATGCCTTTTTTTTTTTTTTTTTGAGACAGAGTCTCGCTTTGTTGCCCAGGCTAGAGTGAGTGCCGTGGCGTCAGCCTAGCTCACAGCAACCTCAAACTACTGGGCTCAAGGGATCCTCCTGCCTCAGCCTCCCAAGTAGCTGGGACTACAGGCATGCGCCACCATGCCCGGCTAATTTTTTGTATATATTAGTTGGTCAATTAATTTCTTTCTATTTATAGTAGAGACGGGGTCTCGCTCTTGCTCAGGCTGGTTTCGAACTCCTGACCTCGAGCAATCCGCCCGCCTCGGCCTCCCAGAGAGCTAGGATTACAGGCGTGAGCCACCGCGCCCGGCCAATGATGCCTTTTAAAATGAAGTCTTTTTCTAAGATGGAGTCACTTTTATCAAGGGTGCTCTTTGCAGATATCCACATTTCAAGCAGTGAACATGACTCACCTCAGTCGAACATATGACTTGCCTTCTCAGAGTTTTGAGAGGTCTATGAGAAAAGGTAATCCAAGGCTCTGTCTCCAATTCTGTTTTACTTGAAGACTTTTATAGACAATTCTAGTTGACAGCATAGGAAGATGCTCCAAGTTAAATACTACTACTGAATAAACTTAAGAAAAAAAATTAATATACAAAAAAATGACCCAAGCAAGATTATCTAATTTTAATAGAACACAAATGCTGTGAGAACCTTTACTATAGCAACATACCGTGTTTCCCTTAAAATAAGACAGGGTCTTTTCTTTATTTTTCCTCAAGAAGACGGCCTAGGGCTTATCTTCAGGGGATGTGTTATTTTTTTGAAGTACGGTACAACAATCTCCATTTATTCAAATATAGTGAAGTCGTCTTCTTCTGGAACATCATCATAATTCTCCAAACCCCGAATTCCATCCTGAATTTCTTGCGACTCTATTTCCTTTAGAACCATTGTCCCCAATCTCTCACATGGAGATATAGAGCTGTCATGGGGCAGATGAGAAGGGCTGCTGGTGTCCGCTCCACGAAGAAATGCTTGGGCTGTGCAGATGCACTGCGTGGCCACGCCCATCACTAGGTCTTAATTTCCGGGTGGGGCTTATATTGTGCAAATGCTTAGATATCCTGCTAGGGCTTATTTTATGGGTAGGTCTTATTTTCAGGGGGGAAAACAGTACTTAGTGATTTAGTTGAAAAAGGCAAAAAAAACCTTACATGTGATTGTATATCAAGTAATTCATGTATGAAGCTTGCTTTTATTACCTGCCCAATAGCCAAAAACACTCAGACATGAACATGACATCTCAACACCTTCCTCTCACAAAAAGCACACTGATACCCGGCTTCTGTCGCGAGCCCAAGAGGTTGGGTCAGCCCAGGCGGAGGCCACGGCCCTCACCACTCCACGCCCTCACCCAGACGGATCACAACGCCCGCCCACTCAGCCTCGGACGTGCATGCGCGCGGGCACGCGCAGCTCTGGCGCCGCAGCCCGCCGCGGAGCCGCCTGGGACATGGAGTGCGCAAAGCCCACGTCCGCCCCCGCCCCCGCCCCCACCCCCGGTGGGCAGAGCTGGGACCCGCACCGTCACCGCAACTTCCGAATCCTCATCCTGAGGCTTCCCAAACTTTCCGGAGCCGCCGACCACGCGCTCCCGGGGGTCAGGACGCCCGCCCCGTGCTGTCTCTGGAAATTCTAGGGAACTGGAGTGCAACTCCCCAGAGGCCCAGTGCCCAGCAAAGGCCCAACCCTGGGGCGGGCTTCCGCCCCGCCAGGAGTTCTGGGAAGTGTAGTCTGCGCTGACGGCTGCACGGTCTAGGGCTCGGGCTGAAGGACTACAATTCCCACAATGCACACTGTGCCTGCGTTGACGGAGCTGCTGGCAGCGCACTCCCATTGGTCCACAGGCCGCTCTGGCCGTGGTAGTTCCGCTTCCGCGGGGCGCTGCTGTCCAGCGAGGAAAGCAAACCGCCGGCGACTCTCAGGCGCCCAGCTTTGGAGGGTCCGGGCGGTTGTACTCGAGCTGCACCTGACCGGATTTCAGTCTAGCTCTGTGTGTGTGTCGGGGGGGGGAGGGGGACGTGGAGGCTCGGTCTGTCCGCCCTTGTGCCCTTCCTGCCGCGGAGCAGGAGCGGTGCCCGGCATGTCCAATCCCGGTGGGGCCTTCGGGGTCTAGGGGGAGCGTTCTGGTCCTGGAGGGCCGCCTTGGGAGGCGGTAGGATGTGAGCACTGGTAGGGCCCAAGAGGCTGCGGCCTACTCGGGAGCGCAGAGGGCCCTGCGCATCCTGCGCCTTGGGCCTGACCTCCGCATACGCCTCTCAGGGCTCACTTCCAACTTGGAAGTGATGATGGCTCCTGGCAGCCCGACCCCCAGTGAGTGGCCCCTTCCCCTTCCTCCTGATGGGCTGTACCCGATGTGAACCATTGGGTTCACATCGCTTCCTCAAGGCTGGAAATGACCGGCCCTCCCAACTTGTGAGGGTTGGTCCCACATACCTCTCTTCCTCTTCCACTCAGCCCTTCATTCTGGCCAACAAGGGAAACAGAAGAGGTACCCCTGAGTAGTCAGGGGTAGCCATAGCCTTTAAATATATCAGTAAAGTCCTATAATCATTAAAGATCTAGTCACAAAACTCCCCAGCAAGAAAACTTAAGGCCCAAATGGCTTTGGCCACCACACATTTAAGGAATGAGCAATTCTGATCTTTCCAAAGTTTGGAATAGTTTATCTAGAAGAGGGAAAATCTCTCACTTCATTTGTATGAGGCCAGCATAATCGTGACTCCAAAACCTGTAAGCTTCTCTCAGCTGAGGCGACTCATTTGAGAAAAAAAAAATAGACTTGGTAGTAGGAATTGCCTCCTAAGACTATCGTGATGATTAAGTGAACTTCCATTAGGTAAAGTGCTTCCTTAGCACAGTACTCGGTGTGGAGAGAACCCTTGGCAGATGTTGACGTTATTATTGTTTTATACCTAGCAGTCTCTGGGACAGGAAAGGGAATCCTACTAAAGTATATTTTGGTTTTATGGAAGATCACTAGTTGATCAAGAAGTGGGCGAGACTCTTAGTGGGTAAATATTTCAGTGGCTAGGGGAGCTCCGCTCTAAAGTGCCTGGTACAGAACACCCAAGAAGCCTCAAGTGTACCCTTCAGAACTCAGAACTGTATCAGGACATTTCCCTGTACTCCTAAGCCC